AGTTAGGGTCATGTCTCATGTCTCCTCGGTGGAAAGTCGTGTCTGTTCAGCAATGAGTCGAAGGTCACAGTCCCAGTCCCAGTCCCAGTCCCAGTCCCAGTCCAGTCATAGTCCCACGAGTCAGTCCTGATTCAGACTAGGAATCCAAAAGACAGGCCCGATGGCCCAAAGCAGCAGCAGACCGTGGGAAAAGATACTGGGACACACACTTTGCAACAAAAGGTACTGGGCAGGAGTCCCAGGCACACTTGAGGCTGAACGCAGGCCACACCAGACCAGTCCAGCACTATAAAGGACTGGCCAGCCTCCTCATTTGGCAGATGCTCACTTCGCATGAGAGTGTGGAAGTGCTGTGGCACTTGTGCGGTAGATGTGTGTGAGCTGCGCTAGGCTGAGAGCAGCGCTAAGCGTGAGAGAGAGGGAAGAAGGGTGCTGGCTGGAGGAAAGCAGCCATAGCTGCGCCAGCGCTAGTTAGTATGTTAGTAGTAATAGTTAGTAGAAGAGTTCAGTGAGTAGTATTCAAAGTAGATCCTCGTGTGATAGGGAGTGTGCATGCATGATGAGTGAGAATAGATCAGGACTATAGACGGAGGAGAGAAGCGAGACATCAAGAGGGAAGAAGTGAGCTATGGAGACACCTATCTATTGAGCGCTGTTGTTGACGTTTGGCAGCTGGTGCTGATGGGCGCCAAGCTTGGGAACTCATGTTGGTTGGAGAAGACTTGTATCTCTGTTTGGGCGCTGTACATTTGGACTCACGATGTTCTCTCTTTAATCTGGGTTTAATATTGTTCGAGTTGAGCTTCCTGGTTCTCATTCATCTTCTATTGGGCTTTGTGTGAGACTTCGCAATCTGTGAAATCTGTGTATATGCATGTGATCTGGTGCACTCCAGCAAGTGATGAACAGTCGGGTTCCTTGCACTATGATGACAGGGCGTTATATTCGGATGAAGATGGTAGCCCACTGAGGTTTGCAAATGCCAAACTAACCCCGTGCAGAATGCTCCAATGGCAAATTCCATGATCTGCACGTGGATAGTGGCGGCTATTTTTTTCCTCCATCCTTTTTTTTTTTTTTTTTTTTTATAGTTATCTATAAATATATTTTTTTTACCAATTTTATGGGCGCAGCAAAGTTTGTGTGAAGCCAAAAGAATTAGCCTTAAACAAAAAGGGAAAATTGCATCTGTACCCCACTTAAAGATAGGAATACCCGCCATACCCAGTCCCAGTGCCAACTTGCACCTATACCCGGAAAACAGCCCGTGGAAACGAATTTTTTTTTTTTTTTTTTTTTGTTGAGGTGGACCCAGTTTGGTACTGCAAAATTGCAGTATTACCAACTACCGGAAAGCACAAATTATGGACAACATACCCATGCAAAATTATGGGCATACCGGCCAAATTATTCATATATTATGCACCCGATTGAGATTCAATCCACAACGAATTCACACGTTCCCATTCACGCATGCAATTGCAGAGTAGACTCGAAGGAGGCAAATCCACACAAAACCGGAGAGAAGGCATGCACAGCGGAAGCTCAAAATACACAGAGAGTTGAAAAACGAATTTCAAATCTGCAATCCCCTGTCCTCCTCCAATCAATCCGGAGTACTTTTTCCAATCAATCACAACCGTGTTGTCAACACCCAAAAAGAACAACGAAAAATGAATGTTCAACGAAGTACGCAGGAGTCTTCTTCTTCCTCCTCCCCACCTCATACTCCTGGCTATGGCTGCCGTAGCATCAGTAACCCCACAGCTGTCACAACGTGCCAATCTGAACCAGCAACCCCAATGATAGCAGTGCCAGCTCAGTACCCGCATGGAAGTGCAGCGCTGGAAGTCCTGATGAAGAAGGAGACAATCGATCCAGCACTTCAAAGAAGATGAAGTTCCTCGTGAGGAGGAACAGTAGTAGATAAGGCTGCCAAGTAGAAAATGGCAGCGCCGAAACCCAACAACACAGTCCTGTGGAAGCTCTAATGTAGAGCTGCGAAATAGCAGCAGTGCAGTCTTCAACTTCGTCTCCCAACCCCAGCTATGGCTGGGCATCGATGAAGAAGATGACCTCGCCCAAAATAGCGCAGAAGCGCTCCAGCGACGGACGGGCAGTGTTTCCCCAGTCAAACGAGATGCAAAAGACCCCGGTACTTCTCGCTACTTGCTACTTCCTACTTCCTATTTTCTACAAACGGGCAGCCAGCCCAATGACTTACATCCCTACCAGAAACATCAATGGAGTCCTAGTGGTCCTAGACCTACCACTAAGAGCCTACCGTCTTCACGCAAATAGAACGCCTGGTAATTATCGCCGTATCTGGGCTGAAAGTTGTGCCAAATACAGCTATAATGACCGGGCGTTATATCTGGGTGAAGATGGTAGCTGTGGCATACTGTGTAGCCACACGGGCCTGCAGGGCCCGTCCCGCATTCTCAGCCTAAGAGCCTAGAAATAAGGGCTTACAGGCCCCATGTCGTTTCAGCCTGAAAGACTGAAAACGAGGGCCTGCAGGCCCTATGTCGTTTCAGCCTAAAACAGGGCTTTTCAGCCCTGAGTCTTTTCAGCCTGAAACGGAGGGCCACTTTCGGGCCCTCATAAGATCGTCCTGCCCTAGAACTCAGGCAACAAACCAGGGTTTTGGGAACAGGCTATTTTTGGCCTGTTCCCCATGCCAGCCTCAGCAGGAGCTGCAGCGCCAGCCCCTGGCTTGCCCTGACATTGGCAAGAGCAGCCTCCTGGACTGCCTCGCCCGACACTCAGGAGGCAGGCCGAGTAGTACATAGGGAGTTCCCATGCACTTCACGGGTAAGTAGTTGGACAGAAGGCAGTAGTCTTCAGGATTCGGCAGCAGCACTCTGGAGGAGCGCTGCAGGAGCAGCTTAGCGCTAGCAGTAGTCTTCAGCGCTGGGCGCTAGTAGCAGTAGCAGTAGTCTTCAGCGCTGGGCGCTAATAGGTGGTAGTAGTAGTGTTGGGGAGAGATGGCTGGTGGAGGCCAGTGAGACTTACCTGTGGCGCCATAGCTCCAGCTCCATCTTTGAGGTACCTGCATCAAGGCGCCAGCTTCACAGGTTAGTACCCGAGAGAGAGAGAGAGAGAGAGAGAGAGAGAGAGAGAGTTCTTCTTCTTCCTCTTCTAAGTCCACCATCTCTTCTTCACCCTCTCACTACCTGACTTCTCAGTATCAGCGGACTACGACAGAGAGAGAGAGAGTTGTGACTTGAGACTTGACGACATTGGATCCAGACTCGACATTGGGATTCAGACATTTTGACAAGGGACTATTTGGGCCTGTGCCGAAGACTTGGTGTTGACGACATTCCCATCTTCCCCTCTTCTTCGTCTAACCCCCCTCTTCTTCGTCTGTGTATGGTTGGGGCTGGCGCATTCTTCCTGTGTGAGCGCCAGACCCCTTCACACCATGGAGTGATGATGATGATGTATGTTCGGGGCTGCATTGCAATATTGATTGTTCGGATCATTGGTATCTAAGTCTTCCGCTACGCTATCTTGTACTTTGTGAGAGAGGTCGGTTCTTGTTCTGGTCTGCACCGTTACAGTATGCAACAGTAGCTAACAACCAGCAGGTCACGGGGTCAAGCCTCACAACAATCAAAACAGGTAAAACAACACAAATAGGGCAAAATGGCAAACACAGCAAACAAAGGTTGCGGGATCAAGTCCCGACAAGGACAAAATGGGCAAAATTAGTATACAGCCCGCTTGCAGCACTGCAGTTCATTGCACATATACCCTACTACTGGATGGCTGAAATTATGCGCGTCCCCAGCAGCGGTTGAGCCACAATGGTCCATGTGGTGGGTGGGCATGAGCATAATTTTGTGGTCCGCCATCCAAGACCTGCCCCTGGGTGTGGGTACACCCGCAATTTCACCAAGCCGTTTCTGGGCATGGGCATAATTTCGTTGTCAGGAACTGAGGGCCTGCGGACTGGGTATGCCTACAATTTCGCAGAGGGGAAAAGTTGAGTCTAAGCAAAGTCGAACGGGGTCTGGGTGTATATGCAAATTGGGCGCTGGGACTCGGTATAGCGGGTATTCCCATCATTAAGTGGGGTACTGATGCAATTTTCCCAAAAAAAAAAGTTTGTGTGAGACCACCAGTAATTGAACATTACTCTTTGATAAAAAATGAACCAAAAAGAAAAAGAAACGATCATTCTTCTGTTTTTTTGGTTCGTTTCTATCAAAGATTGATGTGCAATTACTGGTCGTTTTTCTTTTTTTTTTTAATAACAATGCTCCAATCTGATCATGGGGAGCAACACGTGCTGGGAACCGGGCCCAGTGTCCCATTATGAAAATATACCACTATTGATCCATTTTTCCTCACAATTCTGAAAAGTGGAGTGAGGTCTTACTCTCAAAGAAAGGGATTTTGAGAGTAAGACCTCACTCACTGTTGAGATTTGTCAGCAGAGCTCCTCTCTATTACTCACGGGCCTCACTTGCGGGTTGCTCTTTGGTCGGTGGCGGGATGGGATTTGCCCTTGGGTTCGATTTTGGATTTGGCTTCGGATATGCTTTTGGATTTGGCTTTGGATTTGGCTTCAGATTTGGGTTCGGATTTGGCCTCAGATTTGGGCTTGGATTTGGGTCGGGATTTGAGTTTGGATTTGGGTTTGGATTTGGCTTCAGGTTTTGGGTTTGGATTCGGCTTTGGATTCCGGTTTGGATTCCGGTCTGAGGCCAAATCTGAAGCCAAACCCAAACCCAAACCCGAATCCAAACCCTAAACCCAAACCCCAATCCAAAGCCAAATCCAAAGCCGAGTTTGGATTTGGGTTTCGATTTGGGTTTGGCTTTGGGTTTGGCTTCAGGTTTTGGGTTTGGATACGGGTTTGGATTCGGGTTTGGATTCGGGTTTGGATTTGGGTTTGGGTTTGGGTTTGGACCTGGTTTCGGATTTGGCTTTGGTTTTGGCTTCGGGTTGGACTTTGGATTTGGCTTGGGCTTTGGCTGTGAGGACAACAGGTACTGGAGATGCTCTCTCACATCAACAAGCGTGTGAAGGGTCAGAGCCACATCAAACTTCCGTTCAAGGAGTTGCTGGATTTGTACATGGATAATGGAACTGCTCCTATTGTCAAGAATTTTGCCATTGTGTATCTGGAGATGGCCTTGGAGCGGGTCTCTGATCAGGTGTGTGCCGCAGCCCTTATTGCTGAAGCCCGGGTCTCACTTAGGCGTTGATGAGGGTCATACATGAAAAACACATCGGCGGATGCGATGTCAGGTTAAACCACCAGTACACCTGGGGCTGTTTCACCAAACCGACTCGCCCCCTGCGAGCCGAAATTTGCCAAAGCGCCAGCGCGACATTTTTCTTTTTGTTTTGGCTGGCGGCGGCAGCCATTCGGTCCGGTTTCCCAGAGTGCCATAAAGGCCCAAAATTATTGGTGGTGGCGACAAGTTTTTTCCTGCAAGGCTGGGCCCGTGTACTGGTGGTTTAAGAGCACACTCACACACACCACACACACCACACACACCACACACACCACACACACCACACACACTACACACACCACACACACCACACACACCATACATACCATACATACCACACACACCATACAGACCACACATACCTCCACACACACTTCTCCCAGTTCGGTTGGAGGTTAGGAGCTAGCTATTGTTAAGGGCACCATCAGCTTTGTACTTCATTTTTCTCCATTTCCTTTCTAGTCTACACTTTTACATGGGAACTTTGTCATATTCGAGAGTGCAAGTGTGCTTTTCTGGACAGCCAGGTGGGGCTATTGAGAGTCTACCACAAACTCTTGGAATGCCTTCAAGACAGGCTCATTGGAGTAAGATAGGTCAACATGTTAACACTCACATTGAAAGGCAGGGGGAGGGGAGAGAGAGAGAGAGAGAGAGAGAGAGAGAGAGAGAGAGAGAGAGAGAGAGAGAGAGAGAGAGAGAGAGAGAGAGAGAGAGAGAGANGAGAGAGAGAGAGAGAGAGAGAGAGAGAGAGAGAGAGAGAGAGAGAGAGAGCTGACTGCAGGAGTTTGTTCTTGGTCGTCTGATTGCAGGTGCTTATACATCACTGCCGTCTTCCCCGAACACAGTGCACCCCAGTCATGAATGTAAACAAACCATATTTCGGGCGTGTTACATGTGAGGAACAAGCCCTCAAGGGTCCCTATCAGACATCACATGTTMTGGGCTAAGGCCCCCAGCAAGCCGAGTGCCCGCCCTAAGTGAAGGCGGGCCTGAATATTCGTCAGAGGCCAAAATTGGACATTTTCATATGTGGGTATTCAGGCTCTTGCAGCACGCCAGTTGGTTGGGTAGACGCGTGAGCCTCACTAAGCTGCGTCATACAGTTGGCCCAGGCCTAGGCAGTTGCGCCTGGGCACATACACACAAAGCAGGGCCGTCGGCCTTTGGAAAAGCAGTACTGCCGTTGCACCTGCCTGGGAGCCCTGCACAGATGCAGCAAACAACCCAAGTCCGGAGGAGACTCAGGCCGTGCCCGACTGAAAAGGGCCCAGGCCCTCAACTGTAGTCTCAGGCGTGGGCGCAGGGTCTGAGGCCCAACCGGAAGCTACTGGAAGCTTCCAGCCAGGCCACATGCAACATCCGGGAGGCTGCCGCTTCCATAAAAGAAGTGAGGCAGCCCAGGCCAGGCATTCTGGCCAGTGCTGGCAATGTGGAAGTGCTGCTGCACTGCTGTCCAGGGCGCTGACGGGGTGCTGCAGGGCAGCGGGGCGCAGGCAGCCATAGCCGGGCTGCTGGGCGTCAGGGGTACAGCGGGTGATCTGGTGGTCTTTAGGGAAGGAGGCGAGTGTGGGGTAATCAAGGTCTGATTGAAGGTGACGAGATACATACCTGGTGCAAGAAGAGAGGTCGGCTATGGAGTTGACAGTCATGTACATTGGTCTTCGAGAGTCGTAGGTTGGGCGCTGGGCGCCAGACAGAGAGGAGAGACTTTGGATACTGTGTTGGTGTGGCCTATGGGCTTGAGCATTGGCTCATTACTTCATTGTATTGCTCTATATGAATGGTTTCTTGGTGCATTTTGTACTCTCTGCTTGGATACGACTACCTGGACATCTGTGTGATTTCGCAAATTGGTTTTCTGTATATCGTTCACACATATTCCTTGCACAGTGATAATGAGCATATGTTGGTTCTGCTGCAGTTTATTTGGTTGCCTCTATCATTTGTCACCATCGAAAAGGAATGGAACTTAACATGATTCCGTTCATCTCAAGCAAATCTTCAGCTCATCTCAGACGACAGGACTGCATGCGAGTTTTTGGAGTTGAAGGGAAAATGAATACTGCTCTTGAAGCTCAAACTGCTACAGTGCAAAGGATGTTTTAAAAAAGAATGAAGAAATGTAGGGGAGAGAGAGAGAGAGAGAGAGAGAGAGAGAGAGAGAGAGAGAGAGAGAGAGAGAGAGAGCACTACCAAATAATGAAAAAGAGGTATTTCCTATAGAGGAGGTTCGAATTTCCCCCCTTCTCTCTATCTTTCTCACACACTGGTTTGTCTGGTTATTGGCAGGAGCGGTTAACAGTAGTGCCATCTCTGCTCGATGGGCTTTCTGGCAGGCCAGGTCAGCATCAGGATATGCTTCTTCTCATGGCGATTGAGGTAGGTTTCTTATTGCGTTAATCCCTCCTGACTGAAATTGACTTTGCGTTTTTGCCCTGCTGACAGTGTTTTAGTTCTTCAGGACTCTCTTGTTGCTCGATTGGTCTGTAATTGTCTGCTAGACGTAGTTGGCCATGTTTGGAGGGCATCTCTTTATCCCTCCTCCTCTGCTGTATAAGGAACTAAAAATTTGGAGATGCAAGCGCCCACAGAACACCGATCATGACTGAGTGGAGTTGAAACCAGAGTGGCAAAGTCAAGATCACACCAAATCAAGAACACTGACATCTCCTGACAATGAAAGCCCTCTTCGCACCACCAAACTATCAATAGAACATCAATGTAGCAGCCGGACTATGGTATGTCCACCTAAACTATTCTCCCACTCAACCTACGGAAGCTAGCCAACCACCTGTCGCACTCTCTCCACTCTACTCCGCCAGATGTTGCTCAAGAGTCTGATCATAGGAGGCGCCCCGGCAGCAAAACCAGGTAAGTATCCACCAGTCCCACTGTGCTCGTTCTTCCCTGATCTCCTCGTGCACACGTCACTCTCTTCCAGCTCTGCCCTGCCCTAGCTATGGAAGCCACAGACGGGCAGCCACAGACGGGGAGCCACCAGTTTACAGCCTTCCTCATGGGTGCTACCTTGCTGTATGTCGTAGTACAGTGCTGCAGAACACTCCTATTGCCCAGATGTGTCTTCTGCCCAGCCTCTCCTCCTTTTGTTCGGTCTTCAGGCTGGGGTCTTGTTCCTTCAGTAGGCAGTCCCTACTGGTCTCGTTCCCAGCCAGTGTAAGTACCAAGGCCGGTATCCCTACTGGGCCTACCGGGTAGTTATCTGGGCTGGGCTCCAACGAGAGCTGCCTTTCTTGCCCAGGTGCGACCCTCACTTAGACCCTGTCAACTTCTCACCGGCGGCTTCTTTTGAGGGCCGCGGAGGCCTGTAACCTCGCATTTCCAGTCCCTCAGGTTCAGGAGTCCTCTTATGGTTTCCACTGAGGACCCTTATGCTTTCCACTGAGATCCTCTCAAACTGCAGAACCACTTGGGGCACACACTCGATCAATTATTCTCTTGTAAACCACGTGTGTTCACTTGGATGCAGATGGTATCTGAACGCTACTCGATGCTCTATTTGAGGTTTTGGTGGTCTCCCAGTGGCTTTGGCTCTCCCGGTGACTTTGGCACAGGCAACAGCCTGTGTTCCAAAATTTGGGCAATGCCGTCATTGGAGGCAGCATGGAAAGCTGAGCTGAGAGACTGAGAAGGAAACTGATTGCTTTTAGAAAAAGGGAAGAGTTTGGATGCGTGGAAAGCTGGGTAAGCGCGGAGATGAGGAGGGGCATCAATCACATAGGATGGACCGTAAGAGGATTATCTACTACGATATCTAGGACAGTCGATGGTCCGTTGTACTGAGGCGTTAATTTCCGTGATATGTTCCCTTCTGGTGTGGACTCAGATGACTTGAGGGGTGCCAAATCGCCCACCTGGAAAGCAGGCATCTGTCTATGTTGATGTTCTGACTGTACCATAAGTTGATTCATAACCCTTTTGACATTTCTGGAGCTTGTCTAATGTTTACTGCTATATCTTATTTTTTTCTTCTATGTACTCTTTATAAAGACTAACCTGGGTCCCGCGTGACGCTCCCACTGAGACCTGACCGCTCTGTGTTGGGACTGGGTCCCGCGTGACGCTCCCACTGAGACCTGACCGCTCTGTGTTGGGAAAAGGACAGGGACGAGGGGCGGACC